ATGAAGTCTATAAAAGCAGACAATCAATTCTTAAGAAAAAAAAAAAAAATTAACCAAACTTGTTTTTGTTACAAACTTTCACTAACCACATAAATATTAAAATGTAAAAAAACTATTAATGATTTAAAATGAGAATTTAACAGACACCAAGTTAGAGATGAAACAAAGGTATCAGATGAAACAAAAGGTGAGGATTTCAATTTTTTGGAGAGATTTTTTTTTTCTTTTTAATCATTTCACTCCCAAACAAGGTAATAAAGCCTCTAAGAGTTACTGAGAATGAAAGGATCTTAGAAAAATCATTTTTAAAAGATGACAAATGAATAGGATTCAAAGAGACAGAAAATAACAATTGATAATGTATTCAAATTTTTTAAAATATAAGTTGATGGGAAAGTAAAAAGCTGGAAGAGAGTTCCACAAGCAAGAAATGCAGAAAAACTGTTAACATAGAACTTATGGTTTGATCTAACAATATCAATTGTAAAATAATGAGACCTAACTGCCAATAGTTTGTGAAAAATGCCACTGTGCTAGTAAAAGTGTTAAATTTATTTTAAATATTCAAGTTTCATTTGCAAAACTGCTATAAATCAGTGAATACTGATGACTACAAAGTAAAATTTAATAAATATGACACAGTGACAAACTTCAAGCATGACTTATATTAGATTACAACGTAATAAAATAAAGTTTTACTAAATTAGTTTATGTGTACAGTGACTGGGGTTAGAATAACCCAAAGGCTGTGTGTCTCTCGCCAAAATCTCAAAACAGCTGAATTGATATTAATCAAATTTGGCAGAACAGTCGCCAAGACAAACTCTAAATTTCCAAGTGTTTTAATTGGGACATTTTAATGATCTCAAATAAGGTTTCAAAGTTGTCCTTTTTATTTGGATGATTTATTTAAAATAAAACACAAGCCAAATTTGTTGTGCGTATATTTTTTGAATACAAAATGTATGTGTTTTCCCATTTATTAAAACTTAGAAAAAAAAGAAAAAAGTATGGTAGATACAACATTACAATATTTCCCATAGAAAGAAAAACAGCCAGAATAAAGATTTAGACTTCACACTGAATAATCTTGATAAAAAAATAACAGGTATTTTACTGTCTAAACATTTCTCAAAAGATGATGCATTAACCAAAACTTCACGAAAATTTAAGGTATGAAATGGTATGGCTAAAGAAAAAAAAATGGTAAAATAATAAAGGTTCTTTTTTTTCCTGATGAAGAGATTGTAAAAAATTTATGAAACACCTGATGAGACATGGAAAATAATTCTCAGGTACCATTTCATTTATACTAAAATAAAATTACTTAAATTTATGGTATGTGACAAATCGGCAGACATCCACAATAACCATATATAGATTATATATATATATATATATATATATATATATATATAATGAGATGATACATATTTTTATATAAACAGATAATAATATTGGGTAAAAAAATATATAAAGTCCTAAGGGACAAAACATGTCACAAGAAAAAATTATTATATATATATATATATATATATATATATATATATTAGGATGGACTATCATTTAAGTGTTCATCAGATTGATCATCTGCCAGTAGATTTTCTGCAGCCCATCTTGCAAAAGTGTTTCTCTGCTGAATAAACTTCCACTACATGCCTTTGCTAAGTTCCTGTTCATTGTTCAGTATTTATTGCTTGCTATCATAAAACTTGTTAGATTTCACCCACTCCATTTTGACTGAAACATTATCTGGTATTCTTTTAAGTCAATGCCACAATTTGCATCCCTTCAGATATATCCATTCTCTGATCAAGTGGTTAACAGAAAATCAAATAGGAATGCTTCAGAGTAGCACAAACTATGTACTTCTTGATTGCATCAAGATAAAACAAATACAACTTGGACATCACATCACAAAAATGGGGAAAAAAAAAATTTTAAATAAAAAATATGGACTGACTGATTGACCCTGTTACCACCATTACAGTGATAATGAATAGAATCAAATGAGCAGTTGACAGCAGTAGAAAAGCAAGAGATCAAATCCATTATCAATAATTATTTTAAACTGAAAGTGAAAGCTGATTTTAATTTAACTAAATCACATAGTACAGTTTTCCCTTTGTTATCTGTACTGTCGACATTAGCTCTGCATTGAAAAATATGTAGAATACAAACTTCACACAATTGTAAAATGCTTTACTGCTTTAAACCATGGAAATCTTCCATTAAAATATATGCCATACCTTTATAAAATCTTTTTCATAAAACTATTAAAAATTTTGGAACTATATCAATGACAAAATATAAAATTAATTTCAGAATGAGGCATTCTTTCTTTCCTTAGAAGTCCAAGAATCATACATCAAATCTGGGTTGAAATTTCTACAATATGTGCCACCAACATCTTGTAAATTTTCAATGTGTTTAATTTGCCATTTAGAAAAAGTAAATTAACAAAATGCTGCATTAATTATTCTGACTTCTTGAAGGCTAGGCTATGATAATAAAAAAAAAAAAAAAAAAAAAAAAATGCCCCATGAACTTTTCAGATGAGAATTTTAAAACTTCTTTTAAAATATGTTTTTTTTTTTTAATGTAGAATGTATTTTCACAGCTGAGAAATTACAGCCATATCACATTGAAAGGATTATACAATCACCAAAGTTAAGCAATGCTGCAACTGATCAATACAAAGATAGATGACCACTTGCAAATACCAGTTGCTGTTATTTACATTTGCACTGACTGATATTAAACAGAGTATTAAACTACTAGTATGTATTAGACATATCAAGTATGTTTGACCATAATGATCACAGTTATTCACCTTAACACTGTGTTCAATCAAAAGTTCAACTATTTGCAATCAACCATATTCATAGGCATAATAAAAGTTGTTATTTCATAAGAACAAAATATTTCATCATTGTATCCAAGTGTGAAAAAGGCATCAACAAGAACTAAATATCACCATCAAATAATAACAGCAGAGTTCTGGATTGAAGCATCATTATAAAGATTATTACTAGTTCTTCACTTCATCTTCTGAGCTATCATATCTTGGGCCCATAATTCTGGGAAATAATGAAATAAAATATCTGCAGCAGAAGAACCCACACAGATAAGAGTGTATCAAACTAAAACAAGTGACAGAAAATACAATATAGTTTTATCCTATATAATAAATATAATTAAATGTTCACTTGTCTCTTATTTTTAACTATTTATTATCATTCTATCTCTTGATATCAAGTACTATATTCTGATATGCTTTCCTCTTTGGTACCTCAACTTTGAAAAATTAAGCCCAGTACTAGACTGGTGGCAAGGTCTCGTTATTTTACAGTTAGAATGATTAGATTTAACCATTCTATGCTAACAGTTTCTTATCTCACTTCTGACTTGTGGAACTCTCTTCTAGCTTCTTGCTTTCCAGTCAACTTTCAACTTCAAAACTTTAAATGCAATGTCAATCATTATATTCTGTCTTCTTAATTCCTGTTATTTTATTGTTCTTATATTCTTTTCTCATATTTTTTCACACTCAGTAATTCCTTGCTTGGGGTGAAATGATTACTATATGATATAACTGTGAAATGATTACTATATTAATATAATTGCTTGCCATAAAAATGTTATCTTCCAGAAAGAATAGTTAAAATACAATCTTGTTATATGCTTCATTGAAAAGGAAGACCTCTTGAAAATAGCTAAATGGGCAAAAGAGCTTGGGACAAAAATTACTATCAACAGTTTCTACATTTTCTTAGTCCACATGAAAGAGAAACTGTAAGATAAAAAAAAAATTTTAATTTTCCTTATACATTTCATTTAATGAAACATGTATAAAAGAAAGATTGTTGTCCAAATATACAATTTCAACAAAAAAACAAACATGATGTTGATTAGTCTGTCACAACTAATAGTTACATGTGCACAAAATGTGCAATTATCAGGTGACTAATAATTGCCCCTTGGCTAACCCAAGACACTCAACCTTTGGTAGATAGAATATACACACAGCATACATACTAACCAAAATCATCAAGGAGGAAATAACAATAGCACACACACACAATACACATATATATATATATATATATATATATATATATATATATATATATTGTATTTCTTCAAATGTTATTTTTAGTGAATACTCATGTCTGAAATAGATGCTCTGTATCTTTATTTAAACAGTGAATTATGTCTATCAGCCTATACACTTGAGAAAACTTAAGAAAATGTGCTCTCTGGCAGGGTTCAAACCTGTGACCTCGCTATGTATAGAAACCACTATTTGATCAGGTGTGCTTTAACCCACTCGGCCACAGAGAGTGTCACAGCCCAGCAAAGTTCTATTGACCCTTTTAAGGAATACATACTCCCTTACCCAGATTTTCTTGAAAGCCTATATCTGCTCAATATCATATGTAAGCAAAGCAATTTCTAAAGAAATAATGGATTTATTTTTAATCCAATATTTTTATTACAATATTTTTTTTATTACAAACGAGTCAGACAGCCAAAGACAAAGACGGGCGAGTCGGACAGCCAAAAAACACAAATGAGTATGATATATAAAAACAACAAAATGTTAGGTAGAAGATAGATCAATTATTTTTCCCATAGTAGTGCTTTTTCTTGTTAGAAGTATAAGTAGAGATCAAAGTAAAGATTCTTTTTAAATACAATATACAAAGAAGTGACAATGCTTGTAAACTTTCTATACTCTAGAAAGAGTAAAAGCAACTCTAAGCCAAACTATCACTTATTTTTAAATCTAAACAAAATAAGTCTTATCTCATTTTGAAAAACATGGGTAGGACTATTTCTCTCTGGTTACAGTCTGTTCCACATATATTGTGCTTACTAACAATCATGTTATCAAACAAAAGAACAAAATGTCATCAGTAGTGGTTGTTAGAGATTTAACAATGAATATTACAGAATTGTGCTAAACATTAATTGTAAATGAAATATATTGTGCTTACCGGGTCATGAGTAACTCCAGTGGTTTGGGAAGATTCCTAATTAAAGGTGGTCGAGCTCCTGAAATAAACAAAGGGAAACATAATGAATTATGATATATCAGCTTCATTTTCACAGTGATCAATGCAGTACTGAAATTAATGCTAATTAATCTCCTTTATATATATATATATATATATATATATATATATATATATATATATATATATATATATAATAAAAAAAAAAAAGAAAGATAAATATAAAGTAAGATATAAAAAAAAAAAAAAAAGAAAGAAATAAGATGTTCTTATTGATATTTTTTATTTTTACAAAGGAGTGCTCAATGTAAATTTACAGAGCATAAATATTATAAATTAAATGATTTAAAATGTTTTTTTTGCTACACAGTAATAACCATGTTTCAAAAATGGAAGCTAAAAACTTCAAATTTAATTTTGTAATTAAATTAAAAGCATTAGTTCCATTTCATCCAATATTTGCTTGAAGAAGAAATTTCAGCCACCTTTTTATTCCAATCACCTCATCTATTTGAAACTCAAGTGTAATTTATACATGACTTTTTCCTTAGATGATATCTACATGATTTATTAGCAGTTAACCAACAAAAGATACTATTTTCCTATATTTAACTAATCTTGGATTTTCAGTGAAACTTCTGTCTTCTAGTTGATTTGTAACAAACCTCGTCAGATCTTAAAACAAACTTCACAAAATTTAACCCAACACTGAGTAACTTCATTCAAATGGTATTCTGTACTGTTTGAAAATGAATAGCACAAAATAAAAAAAAATGTCAAAATGTTGAGAAAGATAAAATGAAACAAAGTCATTTGAAATCTTGCAAAGAAACAAGTCATGCAAATGAATTTGTATCACGGCTCAACCTACAAAAGGTAAAGTTTTTCTTGGAGTCAAATTTCCAAGATGTTTCAATTTGATAATGGTAGTCAAAGTCACTTCTTTGTGCCAGGACTGTTTGGTAAGAACCGATGCTGAAGGGCAAAACTGAAAAGCCTACAAATCCTCTTTTGATAGAATCCAAATGTCAAAAAATGCTAAGTCACTGTTCCTCAAGACATTAGATTGCGTTCTAAAAGCGAGTGCTTGAAGACAAACAAAGAGAGACATGGAAGATAAAGAAAAAGGAGGGGGAAATAGTGTGAAAACAAAAGTGACAAGCAGAAAAAGGGAAGAAAAATAAAAAAAAAAATGACACACAAAGAAAGGACAGAGAAAAAGAGAAATAAATATTAATAGGCAAAAGAATATAGAAAGACAGCAAAATGGAGATAAAGAAACCAAAAATTAAAGCGGTAACAGAAATAGCATAGGGCAATAAGAGAAGACAAAAAGTAACAATAAAGAAAGTTTGGAAGACAGAAGAATAAAAGGATGAATACAGGCAAAGAAAGAATCAAAATAAGAAAAAGAAGTAGATGAAAGACACAATGGGTAAAAAAAAAATAAAGAGAAAGAAGAGAGAGAGAGAGAGTAAGGAAAAAAGATGGTAAGTAGAAAGAAAACAAGTATGCAGGAGGGGGAAGCTCATGAAAGGAAAAAGTAAGCAAGAGAAAGGGAGTGGGAAGAAGTAAGAGAGAACCACTTAAAGAAAAGAATATGGAGAGAAAAAAAGATGAACAAAAGAAAGTGTTGAAGATGGAAGTTAGTCAGCAGAACATTTTTAATTATTGCAATTGGCTAGAATTGTTGCAGAGAAAAAGAAATGAAGACTTTTAAATCTTCTTGTTTAGCATTGGCAGAAAGAACGAAGTACCCTAACTCCTGGCCAAAAGCCAAAAACCCAATCAGGGCCAAAAACTTAAGAGTCAATGATAAAGCACATCAAAAGGACATGCATTACAGAATTTACAAGCAAGAGATGCAGCCACATGCAAGAAAAGGTTTGGTTGATTCAATCAAGTCTCAGAGTGAACCAAAAAGGAAAACTCAACTCTTTATCTCAGTATTTGATTAATCATTATCATGGATTTTTCCCTTAAGCTTGTGCCATTTCCAATGACTGAACATCAATCACCTCTTCTGTTAAGTGGGTGGGAGAGATCCTTTCCAAATCATGACTAATACTTGCTGGAGTAACTCAAAGGTTAAATCAAAGAACTCTTCATATGAAGGTCTGTAAAGGATTGAAAAAAATGAATCCTGATATTTTCAAGACCAAAACCCTTCACTCAGCATCTAGGAGTTTGCCCTATTAACTGCAGATGGAAAGAATTTCAGTCATTGCAGTTCTGTGGTTCAACTGTAAGTTGCATAGATTTCTAATGCAGTTAACTGGTTAACAAATGCAAAGAGGCTTGTTCATGGTTGAAATAGTTGCATACCTCTCACCAGTCAGTACTCAAATAAAGTAGAGTTGGAGCAAAGTTAGTCACCCTTACATCATTTTTAGCCTTGTGCCACACTAAGCTGAAAAAAATATCAACTTACACAGCAAATATCTTATGAGAGTTATTGACATTATATTACACTAATCATCAAGTTTTGATAAGTGTTTTTGTTTCTATAACAAAATGCATTTCACTTTTGGGATTTTGCAGACATAGATGTAAACATTAAATTTTTTTATATGAACAAAGATAAGTTTGGAATAAGTCGACTTGACCTTTTAGTATCCAGTTTTCTACTAGTGGAACACATTTTAAGGCACTTTTTCAATAACAGACAAGCATTAATTTTGATTATTTTATCAATAATATAGATGGAAATGACTAAAATATGTATTTACACAATTCATGCTCATCAGGTAGAAAAAATGTCTTTCATTTGTGGAAAAATGCACACTAAAAGGTTAACTGAAAATTATTATAATTATATACTTATACAATCATGGTTTGGCTACATGAGAATAGACTTGAAAGAGTTTTCCACATGTGCTGCAGGCCTTTTGACTGCCAGTGAGTTCCACATAAGAGTAACTGGCTTTCCCAAATCATCTGCAATAGTTCTGGCAGTCAAAGGAAGCCTCTGATTTATACTATGACTTCTGTTGTCTGTTGGCAGCTTCTGTTGTCCACCAACAATAGTTGGTCCCACAAGAGATGAGCATGCTTTTTAAAGAGTTCTTGTATCTCTTCAATTAGGCTCCTTTCAACTAGCTAAAAACCAGTTCTCTCAACAGGAGGGTATTTAAAACAACAGTTTTCCATCCTAGCTACATGCAAGTCTTTTACAGTACAGCATCAATGCTTGTGACATTGGATGACTGGGGAATATCTGTGTTAGCAAGGAAATGTTGTATCTTCATGCCTCGAATGAAGATAGCACAATTAAGAAGTAGGATGTCACTTGGAGTCAACATAGTCTTGCTGAAATAGGTAGTAAGGAGAGAAGCTAGATGTGTTGTTTACTTCTTCTACCGATGATTCTCAGCATCCATATTTATGTATTTGGATGAGTCCAAGACCTCATCTAGAGAGGTGTGTTCTTCTCCACACATAGGAACTCATTTCTCTGTACATTGAGAATAATGCAGAAGCAACAATATATATCAAAGCGCTTGAATAGGCAAAGATGGTACTGGTATATAACCCAGGGTTCAGCTCCACAAAACAATGGCATACAGCACAATGACTTTGTAAACTCAGGATTTTGTAGCTTTTCAGATTTTGTTTCTCAACCATATTTATGTAGTTTGCCAAAAGTTAGGTTCATCTTAGCATGTTGTCTTATCTCTGTCCAGCTTCATATAGTAACAGCCAGGGTCAGTAAAATCCTAGTCTAATTTGTTTTATCATAGTCAAAGGAGGCAAAAGAGGAGTATTTTAGCTGTAGGTTAATGGAGTATGTTTTTTTAATAAGATTCACCCAATTCGAGAGCCATTCAAGGAAGAGTTACTATTAAAGTGATGAATAAGAATTGTGATATGAATGAAAGAAGAGACAGCAAGAAATTAAGATTATGTTATTAATGAGGCTAGATAACAAATGAACTTTGATTTGAAGGTTAAGATTGTAATGTTCAGGGAAGCATTCACACAAGAAAAAAGCTCTGAGTGGAACTTCCTCCCACAATTGAAATACAGAGTAAATGAAGGTGATTTGACTGTGGATGTAGCATGGCATGTCCTCACTGTAAAGGTCTGAACTGATGAGACTAAAGAATGTTTCCCATCTGAACATTTGCCATGAAAATCAGACCAAAATGTTGTGTGGCTTTTGCAAAACATGGCATTGCCTGCTGAAAGGTTGCCTCTGAGTGTTATTTACAAAAAGGAAAAAATCAGTGCATATACTAGGCTATGAGGATCTCATTAGTAGACCTAGCATAGAAATAAATATAATATGAGAGCCATAAATAAAGACAAATGACAGCAAGTCTTCAACAGCAGCTCTAACAAAAGAGAAAAAAGCTTAAGTGAGTGCAATCATGCATAGCACACAGCAGCAAGCAGATAGGTTAAGTTTAATGCTCCAAGTTCTTCACAGAAAATTGTCCTACAGGACAATAGCCTTGTGGATTAAAGCATTGGTTTGTCAATTTGGTGACATAGTAATTGTAAGTTCAATCCCTGGGTCAGGCAGTATATACTTGGATTCGGTGAAAACCAGGCAAGCATTAATTCAGTGATACCAAAAATAAAACTAGACAAAAAGTAACAATAATGAAAAAAAAAAAAATTTGTTGAGTAACCTAATTTTTTCAAACATTATTCAGAAGTGCAGCCTTTTCAGGTCAACAATGAAATACCATATATACTTGTGTATAAGCCCACATCATGATAATGCACTCCCTGACTTTTTTCATATAGCTTGTGTATAGTAAATAATTTATAGTAAAAAAAAATATTTTCTTCACTGTATTCTAAATAATGTCTTCCTGTAGCATGTACTATAATACTTTGTGTGCTGACCTGAGATGGAACAAATACATTGAGTCAATTGCTTCGTCCACCGCAAGGAAAGTTGGCTCCCTGTGCCGCGCCAGGAAATTTTTCTCCCCAAAATCAATCCTTCACATCTACAAATCAACAATTCACCCTTGCATGGAGTATTGCTGCCATATATGGTCTGGAGCCCCTTCTGTTTGTTTCGGGGGT